TTGATTGTTTGCCTCCTGCATATGCCCCAACTGGCGCCACGGATTGAGCCTGCAACTGAGATATATGCCCTTGACAGGAGTCGAGCCTGCAACCCTTCAGTCTGTGGGCTCATGCTCTACCCACTGAGCCAAACTGTCTAGGGCTAGAAGATGGTTTTGACTACAGAGTCTTAAGGCCTGAGTGGTAGTTTAGGGGATTTGGTGTCTGCTGCTTTACCAGGTTGGGGAGGAGAGTAGGATGCAGCATTCCACTGGACTGTTCTGCCTAATTCTCTTCTTGTGTTCTCTTAGGTGATGACCCCACAAGCAAGAGGCACTGTTGCAGCTGCTGCCACAGCTAGTATTGCAGGGGCCCCAACCCAGTACCCACCGGGCCGTGCAGGTCCTCCCCCACCTATGGGCCGAGGGGCACCCCCTCCAGGTAAGAAGCCCATAAGGAGAGCATTGCTAATTGCTAAAAGATGCCTGAGCTGGATTTATGATGAGACATACCTTGACTGAAACTGATGATGAGTTTTTATAGTTAAGCAGGATTACTCTGAGATCCAGCCTGGCTGACTACCGTGGAACAAGAGCCATTGGGAGTTCCCACCTCTTTGGCTCAAGTCCCAGTTTGCTAGGAGATGCTGGGAGAGTGGAATGGTCCATCTGTCTTCAGAATTTGGTAGATAGCTTGTATGTTTTTTTGCTACCTTTTGACAGACACTTGAGCTATCTTTTGGGGGCTTTTCTCTTTCAGGCATGATGGGCCCACCTCCTGGTATGAGGCCTCCCATGGGTCCCCCAATGGGAATCCCCCCTGGACGAGGAACTCCAATGGGCATGCCCCCTCCAGGAATGCGGCCCCCTCCACCAGGAATGCGAGGTAATGCTCACAGCAGTGATTTAGACTTCCTTCCCTAGAGCCATATTGGGATGGGAAGTGGAGGGAAGGTGAGATTTTGACTATACCTCTGGGCTTTCAGGCCTTCAGCCTAGTGAAGTGAACTCTTTCTTAGAGGACAACTTAATGCAGAAAGGAAAGAGGGAACAGCATTTCTTTAATTGACCTAACTCCCTCTGCACCCAGGTACTTCTCAGTGTCCAAGGCAGTGTTTTTAGGGCACTGTGAAATAATGCACTCTGAGGGTCCCCAATAAAGGTCATGGAATTAATTTTCTTACACTCTTTGGTTTGTAGTGTTTAGTAATTAAGAAAGGGCTCTGGGCTTTGCTATATACTATTTAGTATGTATATCTTTTTAACTCCAGTTTGAGAAATGGTGACATAGATCAGCCTTTGTTATAGGTAAGAAAACAGGCCCAGAGAAAATTCAGTGTCTAGACCAACCGTGGGCAAACTACGGCCCGCGGGCCGGATCCGGCCCATTTGAAATGAATAAAACTAAAAAAAAAAGACCGTACCGTTTTATGTAATGATGTTTACTTTGAATTTATATTAGTTCAAACAAACACTCCATCCATGCTTTTGTTCCGGCCCTCCGGTCCAGTTTAAGAACCCATTGTGGCCCTCGAGTCAAAAAGTTTGCCCACCCCTGGTCTAGACTCTCAGACCAGTGTTCTTTTCACCAAGCCATAGTGGTTTTTAAGCTAACCCAGAGCTGTCACACTAGGTGATTCCTATGTCTCTAGTCTGAGTTTTCTGCTTTTGGGTTTTGTAAGCATGGGAATCTAATTGGCCCTAGAGATGTCACCAGTCAGCACATACCTCCCTCCAGTTGATAACTGCAGGATGTGGGAGCCTGGGCAGGAATGGGGATTTGACTTGCAGATCAGGCACTGACTAAACTCCTTACTCTTACTTCAGGCCTTCTTTGATCCTTGGCCACAGAGTTACGGAAGTAGCTCCACAGAGGCGTGGTCCCGGTCCACCAGGGCCACACTACCACAGACCGGTTTGTTTGTTATGCTGTTATACTTGGAGTCTCACCAGATTGTCTGGTTTCCCTTACAGGGCCCCCTCCCCCAGGAATGCACCCACCAAGGCCCTAGACTCATCTTGGCCCTCCTCAGCTCCCTGCCTGTTTCCTGAAAGCCTGTACATAGTCCTTTTGTTTCTTGTGCCTCAGAAACAGCATTTCTTAATAAACTCTTAATAGGATATTATAAGTGCACCTGGTGTTTCTGTTCATTTTTAGAAAAATCTTTGATAATGTCAGGTGCTTAATTGAGTCAAGAAGGGGTGCCTTGGAAAAATCAGCCTTAATCTTAACTGTTTGCCTTTTAAAATATTTTTCTACACATTTGAAGAGATCACAACCTCCTACCAAGAGAGTTACAGAATTGAACTACAATGAGATATTTTAACCTATCAAATTGGCAAAGATCGGTTTGTTGAAATAAACATACACTGTTGGAGAGGGTTGGGACTTTGTGTATCCTCTTTGGAAGGAACTCATCTAAATAGCTTCTTGAGCAGTACTTTATTTTTGTACAATAAAGTATGCAGTTAGTACTAAAAATGAAAATCCTATTGATAGGAATAATTTAATGTGACTTTCTCCTAGGGTTATACATATACATGTAACCTTATCCAACTTTTGAATTGTGGGGCCTCCATGATTTCTTCTACCCAAAGCCTATGTTCAGTTGATAAAATGGTCATTGAGCAGTAGTAATTTAGTACTTGGGTACAGCTATAAGAGGTCACCACTATTTTTTTTGTTCTCGTTAATCCTCATCCAAAGATATTTTTCCATTGAGTTTTAATGAGTGGAAAGGATGGGGAGAGACACAGAGAGAGAAACATATCAATTGGTTGCCTCCTGCATGTGTCTGACCAGAGCTGGGGATCTAGCCTGCAATCGAAGTACATGCCCTTGACCGGAATCTGACCTGGGACCCTTAAGCCTGCAGTCTGATGCTCTATCCACTGAGCCAAACCAGCTAGGGCTCACCACTGTTCTTAAATTACTGTCCTTGGGGAATACAATTCTAAATCTAAAGGAGAACTTAATGAAAAAAAGAAGAAAAAAAAGATGTGCAGTAAGGGGGTGTTTGTCTAGGAATTTAAGTTTGGTTCAACATAACCCATATAATAGAAGAAAAAAGACACATTATATGGTCATTTCAATAGATGCAGAAAAAGCATTTGGCAGAATTTCCCAACCATTTTATTATAGAAACACTCAGCAAATTAAAAACAGAAGGGAACTTTCTAAACATAAAGGGACTTAATGGAAACGTTTCCTCTTAAGATAAGGAGCAAAGCAAGATTGTCACTTTGGGCACTGCTGTTCAACATTGTACTGGAAGTTCTAGCTAGAGCAATTACACAAGAAAAAAAAAAGTTCCAAATTAGGAAGAAGCAAAACTACAACTATTATATATATATATATATAGATAATCCCAAACAATTCATAAGAGCTACTAGAACTGATAAATGAATTTAGCAAGATTGCAGGGTACAAGATCACACAAAAACTAGTATTTTTATATTCCAGCAATGAACAATCTGAAAAGGAAGTTTAAAAAATTGTATTTATAATAGCATTCAAAAGAATACCTATGAAACAACCAAGGAAGTGAAAGATTTGTACACTGAAAACTAAATGTCCTGAAAGAAATTTTAAATGGAAAGGTCTCATATTCAATGGCAACATTCCCTGAAGTGATCTGTGGGTTCAGTGCAATCCCTGTAAAAATTCCAATGGCTTTTGCAGAAATGGAAAAGCAAAAACAACTTTGAAAAAGAACAAAGTTGGAGGTCTGACACTTCCTAATTTCAAAACTTACCATAAAACTTCAGTAATCAGAACAGTGTGGCACTGGCATTAAGATAGATGTAGGCCAATAGAATAGAATTGAAATAAACCCTTGCAAATACAGTCAATTGGTTTTTGATAATGCCAAATCTTTTACTGGAAAAAGAATAGTCTCTTCAACAAGTGCTGGACAATTGGATAACCACATCCAAAAGATGACATTGAATCTCTGTGTTACTCCATATATCACTAACAAAATGGATCAACAATTGAAATATAAGAACCAGAAATAATAAAACTACTAGAAGAAAACAAACCTTCGTGACCTTGGATTGGTGATGGATTCTTAGGTTGGACACCAAAAGCAAAGCAACAAAAGAAAAAAAATGAACTTCATCAAAAATGTCTTTGCATCAAAGGACATCAAGAATGAAGAGGCAACCTGCAGATGAGGAGAAAAGATTCACAAATCTTTGATCTGGGTTTACCAGTATTGTCTAGACCAGTGGTTGCCAACCTTTCAGACCTCATGGACCACCAGTGGTCGCAGACCACCAGTTGGCGACTGTGGATCTAAACTATAAAGAACCTTTATAATTTAATAAAAAGATGAATTTAAAACCCAATGAGGTCCTGGCCAGTGTTTCTCAATGGTTAGAGCATCAACATGCATACCGAAGGTTTATGGGTCAATTAATGGTCAAAGGCACATCCTGGGTTGCAGGTTCAATCCTTAGCCCAGACTGGGCGCGTGGCAGAGGCAACCAATCAATGTGTCTCTCACATTGCTGTTTTTCTCTTCCCCCTCCTTCCCTCCCAACTCTAAAAATCAATAGAAAAAATATCCTTGGGTGAGGATTATTAACAACATATAAAGCCCAATTAAAAAGTCAGTAAAGGAATTCAATTGACATTTTTTCAACGAATTACAAGTGAACAACAAGCACATGAGAAGGTATTTAATATTGGTCGTTAGATGCAAATCAAAACCACAATGATATACCACTTCACACCTACTAGGATGGCTTTAATGGAAAAAAGATAAATGACAACTATGTGGAGAAATAGCCCTTGTGCATTACTGGTGACAATGTAGAATGATGCAGCCACTATAGAAAAAGTTCAGTGGTTTCTTAAAAAATTAAACATAGAATTACCACATGATCCAGCAAATTCCACTCCTAGGTAGATAGCATTATTCATAATCAATAGGTGGGAACAGCCCTGGCCCGGTTTGGCTCAGTGGTAGAGTGTCAGCCTCAGACTGAAGTGTCGGGTGGATGAATGGATAAACAAATTGGATATACATTCAATGGAATATTAGCCATATAAGGGGTGAAGTGTTGATACAATGCCACTTGGATGAACCTCAAAAACATTGCAAAGTGAAAGAAGCCAGACACCAGAGATTACATAATTGATTCCTTTTATAGGAAATACCTAGAATAGGTAAAACCAGAGAGACAAAGCTGATGAGAAGTTACCAGGGGATGAGGATGGAGGAAATGGAGAGTGCTTTTATGTGGTGATGAAAAGTTTTGAAACTAGAGATAGATGGTAGTTGGACAACATTGTAAATACATTAAATACCAAGTCAAATTAAAGTGGTTAATTGTGTTATGTGAGTTGGACCTCAATTTAAAAAAGAAATTTTCTTTACGGAAAGAGTTTACCAAGGCTTCCTTAGAAGTGTTAGAAAAGATATTCCCAGCAGAGGAGAAGGCTGAGGAGTAGAACATCAGGTAGGTGAGCTTGGCAGCAGCTTTTGGCAGAAGTGTTAATGGTTGGTTGCTGCTGGGGTCCAACCCCAGCAGGTCCAGGGGTCCCCAAAGGTGTGGACGGAGTCGGCGATGAAGGAATGACACGGAGACAGCGTTCAGTTGATCAGCAGCTTAGCCAGGATCTCTAGCCAGGAACTCCAGCCAAGTCCTGGTCAGGATCTCCAGCGAAGTTCTGGCTAGGTTCTCCAGCCAGGTTCTCCTGCCATGTTCTGTCTAGGTTCTCCAGCCAAGTTCTGTAGCCAGGTTCTGTCCAGGATCTTT